TGGCCATCATTTTAGAATGGCCAACAATAAACGTTTTATTTCTGGATAACATTTTCTTTGATTATGTTCGGTTATAAGTATTTGCATAGTGCGTGCATGAGGTAAGCTTATAAAAAAAGTGCAGGTTAATACATTATTTATTATTACAAAAATGTCCAATCTCCCTAAGTGGATCTGCCAAATTAAAATAAATAATATGTACGTTCAAAACTAACAAAATATACACAAATGCAAACTACTCCTATTTTTAAATGTTAAAAATAATATTAATAAGAAATGTTAATTGTAATAATTTAAGCTAAAAGAATGCATAAAATAAATCAGGGGCGTAGGCAGGAGAGGCGTTTGGGGGTGTTAATCCTCCCCCCGAATTGTGAGATACAGTTTTGTTTTTTGATAAAATAAATGAAGAATAGAGACTTTGCTTTTTATTAACATAAGCGTGTGAACTTCTAAACTATAATTTTTTACAAAATTTAAAATAAATAACTTATATTATTAATACTAAACGTTCTTTCAATAAAGAACTTTAAGGGCCCCTACATTTTTTAGCCCCAGGACCCCTTTTGCCTTAATCCGTCCCTGCAGCGGAATATGCAGACTATACTTTTTCTACCATTTTAAAAAATACCATTTAGTATTGTAAACATTTTCGAAAAAAAATTGACCAAAGTTGGGGTTAGGCCCAGCACTAATTAAATCGCGTTTTTGAGAAACCCCACATGTCCATAAATTTGACATTTTGACTGTTATAGACGCATCTTTTCAAGAGAAATCCCACATGTAAAAAGACAAAAATTGTCTTTTTCTACGCTAGACCGTTTCGGAGTTATAGTACATACATATATTGTCCTCACATTCTTCCAATGATCACTCACATTTTAAATACATGCTTTGAATCAAATCAATTTCCAGATACTTGGAAAATATCTGTTATAAAGCCATTGCCAAAAGTTAACGATCCTAAAGAACTAAAGGAATTGAGGCCAATTAGTATTTTACCCACTTTTTCAAAATTAGCTGAAAAAATTATATATAAACAAATTAAAATTTACCTAGATAGATATGCAATTGTTCCAAAATATCAATCTGGATTTAGAAAAAATTACAGTTGTTCTACAGCTCTGCTTAAGGTCATAGATGATATTTTGGAGAGCACTGATAATAATCAATTGACCATTTTAGTACTCTTAGACTTCTCAAAAGCATTTGATAAATTAAATCACAGGCTCTTTATATCTATTTTAAATTATATAGGATTCAATGCTGATTCTCAAGCTTTAATTAAAAATTATTTAAATAATAGAAATCAGATGGTGAAAATTAATAATAGCTGTTCTTCACTTGGCCAAGTGTTCTCCGGAGTACCACAAGGATCTATTTTGGGCCCTTTATTCTTTACAATTTATACCAGTCAATTAATTAAGTGTATTAAAAATTGCTCGTACCACCTGTATGCAGATGATACTCAAATTTATAAGTCATTTGATCCTAGTAATATTCTATTAGCTAGTACTATGATAAATAATGAATTAAAGGCCTTAACAGAAGAATCTAAAAAGTACTGTTTAGAATTAAATCCAGATAAAAGTAAATTTTTAGTTTTTGGAAAAAAATTGGCAAGGCAACAGTATATACAATATATTAATATTCAGGTGGAAAGTAAAAATATTCCTTGTGTGAACTCAGCAAAAAATTTGGGATTAGAAATGGACATAGATTTAAGATTTTCAAAACACATAAGTAACAACATTAAAAAGGCCTTTGTAAAATTAAAACATATCTTTGCTTTTAAAAATATTTTAAACCGCGAGCTAAAAATTATGCTATGTGATTCTCTAGTCCTTTCTAACCTGAACTATTGCGATACAGTATATAATTCCCACATCACCAAATTTGATGCAAATAGAATACAACTTATTCAAAACTCTTGTGTTAGGCTAATTTGGGGTATAAGAAGGAGACAAAGAGGCATAACACAAAGAATGGAGCAAATGGGTTGGCTACAAATGAGCCAACGACGTGCGCTTCATTGCTTTGTGATGTATCACAAAATTATAAATATAAAATGTCCCTCTTATCTGTTTGAAAAAATATTATATAGATATGATGTTCACAATATAAATACAAGGCACAAACAACGCATATCTCCACCAAAATACAAATCTGTTATGTATCAGAGATCATTTTCTTATGCAATTTACAAGTTTTTAAATCTCTTACCATTAAATTTTATGGTACTTTCTAAGACAAAATTTAAAAAACATATACTACCATTTGTTACTTTGAATTTTTAATTATTAAAAAATTAAGAATTGAGCAATAAATATAGATTTATATAATGTTATAGCATTTTTTTTTTAATTAATTTAATTAATTTTGATGTTTTAGGGTTTATTTTGATGTTTTAGGGTTATTTGCTTACTATTATTTTATTTTGTATTGAATTTTAAACATTTTTGTTATATAAAATTATATATAATTTAGGATCACATGGTTGTATTAATGAAAGTATATGTGTCTACATACACACATATGTATATAAATTAAGGATGTTGTTTAGATTTAATTTTTTTTTTTAGTTATATGTTAGTATAGCTAGTAGTTCTTAATTATTAGGATTATGTTAAAAGGTTAAGTGGAAGAACGGGAGCTCACATTATTTGTGTTCAACCGAACTTCGCCTTTTGTAACGAATTATTTGTATTTTTTTACATATTTTGTTGCAATAAAGACATTATTATTATTATTATTATTATTATTATTATATTGCATAAGCCTTGTTCAATCTCAATACCGCACGCACTATACTGCCCTATTATGGAGAAAGGAAGTAAATACCAAAAAAATGCAAAATGCGTTTTCTTGTGTAAAGCTATGGACATTTATCCGAATTCAACACAGAAATGCAGTAAACTATCTCATAAGTTAAAAAAATCAATTAAATACCTACTGATTTTTATAAAAATGTAGTTTATGCTAATTTTCGTTACTGCCTTTCTCCATAGTAGGGCAGTATATAACTATTAAATGTTTTACTTTTTAGATTTTTCATCCTAGAGCATGTACCCAATGACATAAATTGTAGTGAACAAATTGTCCCGGGCAATATAGTGATACTTTATGTTTTAAATTTTTTTTAAACCTTTTTCGAATGAAATCCAAAAACTTCCTAAGTTACCAAAAACCTGTCGTTCTATAACTGTGAAGGTCTCTCGTAGGAAAAAAAATTATATGGATTTTGTAGGTTAACATTTTTTGAGGTCAAACAGCGAGAGCTCTTAAAACGTAAAAGTTTAAAGATTAAAACCAACAATAATTTTAAAAATGTGCAAACCAATTATAGTGAAACAAACCATTTTCAAAGAGTGCAAACTAAAATGGTGCAACGGTCAATGAGGAGTGAAGTGTTAAGTGATGAATGAGTTAAGTGCCACCTTTCATTGGTCGCTTTTCACTGGACAAACAAAGGAGGTCAAACAAGAGGGGAGGTGGCCATCCGCAAAAAATTGATAAGTAACCTTAAGCATATGCATGACCTAACACATAATCTGCAAATTAAACACGACAGATATCTTTAAAACCCTAAGAAAGGCACACTGCGTAGGACAATAAATCTGTCAACAACAAATGCGTAAGGCAAACCCAAACGAGACCAATAATAAACACTAGAAACACAGAATAAACTAAAACATTAATCATTATAACCCTAACATAGTAAAAAAAAGCATAATAACCAAACTCTACTGGATTTGTAAACATTAGATAACAGAATAATTGCGTTTGTATTTGTTTAACTAATAAATAAATGCAATACTTAATTTTGGAATTTAAGAAAAAAAGACAAAACTCTACCACAAAACGTGCTTGAGCAACACAATAACAAATAAAAAAAAAAGTTAGAAATTTCGCCCTACTGCGGCAATAAACAATTTAAAAAAAAAACACCAAAAGCTACAAGTTACATATCCAGCTACTGAACTATCTATTGATGGTTTTCGGAACGCAATGGACATTCGCACCCAGCAAACACGGGTGAAGCCGTGCAGTTGCTGGGGGCGAACAAAAATCGGCGTAAGTAAACATAGGCCTGTACGGGGTCCGGGAGTGATGAGGCAATGGGGCTGGTTATACGTCTCTTATACTCATACTAAACATTTTTTGGGGTCAAACAGCGATAAAACTTTGGGTACTTGAGTTCAAAATATTTTTTTAATTTTTCGAGTAAAATAAAATCCAGAAGTTATTACTTAAATACGCAGGGGTTAGGATCCCGCTAAGTTGGGGTTAGTTTTTCTTATGAGCCCCTAACTATTCATACAATAATTTAATTGGGATAAAGGAGGTTAAACCCGTCTGACCGTTGTTAGATTTTATGATACCGATTGGTCCGAAATATTCCATTATCGTTTCTATATGATAAAATGAATATTCTGTAGCACCTTATGGAATAAAGGTAATTCCACATTAAAAAGCGATATTAGAACAGCCATATTCGGTACTAAGCGTAAAAAAATATTTAAAGGAATATTATTTTACTATACCTATAGTATTCTTACCTGTGATGAGTTACCTCCCTAATAGTTTTTTTTGGGATCAGGAATTTGAAAATAGGCCAAATATTATTTTGTTTTAATTTTTGTAATCAAAATTTTGAAAATATTTTACATTCCTTACTTTAACTAGTTACATCAGTATATTACATCATCAAATGACTTAAAATTAACGAGAAAAAATAATAATTTAAATATTATAACATTCAACAAAATATCGAAATACTTTTAAAAGTAATAAGATAATTATGTAATAATTAACAAAGACAAATCAAAGTAATCAACTAATCGAGAAAATAAATTAAGTAACCGATTTTTTTTTAAATATGTACACTAAAAACAAGAAAAAGGTGCTTAAATCACATAACTAATAATAATAAATAGCGATTTTTGTGATAATTAATAGAAAATAATAAAAGTCCTATTATTTATTAGGACACCCTGTATATTATTGTAAATATAATAATGTTTTATCGTGATAATTTGACAGTTAAATGACAGATTTGACGTTGTATTGACAGATTATATCTAAAAATGATGTTTTGAGAAGAAAAAAAATGAGTACGCCATTGATTTTTTAAATGTTTAAGGGGGCCATTTTGTGTAAAATTTATTGCCCAACAAAAATTATTCAATGAGATGTTTTCGATTACGACTTCGTTTAAAAATAAATGGACTAGGTGATGAACTAGTTTGAACGCTTGTTGCAAATTTAATTATCTACAAAAATTAAAAATGCAGGCGGTTTCAACGGTACCGTTCATAATACCGTCATTCAAACGTCACTTTCTGTCACTTAAAAGTCATTCGCGGTTGTCAGTTCTCCTTAACGTTGTTCAGCAGCTGATTTTTGGGCGCGGCGTTGGCATTTAAGGTTTGCAAGAACTGTTGCTGAACGTTGGCGGCAGCTGCTGCAGCTTGTTGCTGCAGCTGCTGCTGCTGCTGCGCGTTCATGTTGTTGAGCCAATTTTGCCGATTCTGCATTTCGAAATGTTTTAAGAGCATTGCGTGTTGCAGCGCCGCAAGTTGCGGGTTCGCTATCGTTGCCGATAGTTGCGCGAGGTTTTGGATGTTGTACTTCTCCAGGATTTGGTTGGGGGTTAAAGGTTGTGGAGGTTGTTTTGGGGATATTTTGGGCGATATTTTTAGGTGTTTTGGAGATGAATTTTGTTGTTTTGGGGAGTTAATTTTGGGTTTAATAGGGGTTAACTTTGGTGTTATAACTTTGGGGGAGGGGATTTTTATGGAAGGTATGGTGGAGTACATGTGTTTCACCACAGGGGAGGATTTAGGAGAAGCGTTCCTTTTCGGCGAGTTTTTGGGCAAAACTACATTAACCGGCGTTTTAACCATTACTTCCGCTTTTAAAACGTCCGGTATTTCCGGCGGAAGCACTATAGACAACTCCCCCGGGCTTTTCGGGCAAATTTTTTCCTCCAAACGCGGTTTTTTGTCCACGGAAACAGAATAAGACAAATTTAACGTGTTACTGTGTAAATTATCGATGTTCGTCACTTTTTTACACGGTTGTTTGGCAACTATGCTCGGTTTTCGACAGTTTGGTAACCGCGGTATGGCGACTTTGGCAACAGCGCTTTCACTGGTAGTATTTTTTTGTTCGTTCTCCTCCTGCGTGCGACTTTTTTTGCACAAATCGGAAACAATATCACTTATATTTCTTTTTTGCGTGGCCACGTTGTGCAGTTCGGTGCCTGGAAGTTCTATGGGGGCCGGAACTTCCGGTTGCGCGGCTTTTTTTACGGACTCCTCGAATATTTTCTGGAAACTTTGAGGAGAGTTTCTGGGGTTGGTTTTCGGGTCGGTTTGTTTGCACGAGTTTACTTCCGGTATCGGTGCCGGAAGTGCCGGGTATTTTTTGACGGGAATTTGAAAGTTGTTTTTTGGGCCAAAATTTTGCGATACAGTCGTGGAAAGAGGTATTTTTTCTGTCAAACTTAAAGCGATTTTCGATATATCCTCGTCGATCTTTTGATCGGAATCTTCTACATTTTTAACCGCCGGTTTCTCTTCCGGTATCTTAAGAATCTCGATGAAATTCTTAACCGGTGGCGCCACGACCGGAAGTTGATTATTTTCTGTACCGGAAGCGTCTTTAAGCGTAATCGACAACGAGCTTGGAATGTTTATTTTACAGTCGCCCAAAAAGTTATGCAGTGGTTTCGATTGCAAAATTATTTTCGCAGTGTTGGGCTTAAGTTTTTTATTTTTCTCGTTTTTAACTGGACTGCAATTTTTCCGCTTGCTTGTCGTCACAATGTTTGTCAAAATTTTCGCGAACTCGGGTATCTTTACCTCTTCCGGTTGCGATATTTTAACTTTTGGTTGTGATTTTTTCACTTCCGCTTGCGCACTCTTGGCTGTCAACTCTATATTCTGTAAGAATTTTACTTTCTCCTCGTCTACATCGATTATTAATTGTCTTTGGGCATTATTATCCGCACTATTTTCGGTTTTCTTTATATCACTAATTATTGATTGTTTTTGACCACTTTTATCCGCACTTCCGGTCTTCTTATTATCGCCATCTTTAACGAGATTCACGACGCCGTTCTCGTTTGCCGCAACCAAAAGTAACGGCGGTTTTTTAACAGTCTGCTTCAAAATGTTCAGCACCACCGGATGCCCGTCTTTGTTCGACGAAACTTTTTGTATTTTCGTTATTATCTCCACGTTATTCGTCCTGTTCAGCGTAATGTTAGTGTACACGTTCTTTTTCACTTCTTGCGTCGGTTTTTTATCCGCCACTACCACTTCCGGTGTTGGTTTTTTAACTTGCACGACCGCATTGTTTTTATTTGTGTTATTCGCCACTATTTCAGGTTTCGACGCATTTTTAACCACTTCCGGATTTAAAGTCTTGGTAATAACTTCCGGTTTTCTATTAAACACGTTGTTTTTATTTTTTCCCTCTATCTCCGGTTTTGATGCATTTTTAAGCACCACTTCCTGCTTTGCAGTCGTAGTAATCACTTCAGGTTTCTTGTTTGCCGACACTTTATTCACTACAATGTTTTGTTTAACGAATTCCAGTTTTTTAACCACTTCCGTTTTTTCGACATTACTTTTTACAACTTCCGGTTTTGTTGACGATTTGTTGGTACCAACAACTTCCGGTTTTCCGTTTTGACTAGAAAGCGCGATTTTTGACGATTTTTTAGCCGATTTAGGAACGTTCCGGCACTTTGTAATCGGCGTGGGTATTTGTGTCGTCATCGTTTTGCACTTTTCGATGTCGAAATAGTCGAAGCGTTCGGAAACCCGATTGATATCCGTGATCCGGAAGTAGAACGTCATTGGCTCGTTCTGAAACCAAAGAAAACGCGTAAATTTTACTTTAAGTCAAAGTAACAAATAAAACTGTCAAAAATTTGACAGTTACTGTCAAAATTTAAGCAACTGTAAAAAATATACCATAACTTACCCTTTTCCAGGAATATATGTAGGCGATATCTATCAAAGTATAGTGATCGGGTAAAGGCACTCTTTTGTACAAAATATCGATCTGTAACAATAAAAATAACATAAAATAACACCGTAACAAGTTATTTTAATATGCAACTCACGTGAAACTTCGAAGTATCGACGCTGTATTTGTTTCTGACGAATTTTTTCAACACTTCAACCCGGCACATTCCAGGACATTGGAGGTACCGTTTCATCTGGCTTTCCGCGTTCTCGTCTAAGTCCATTTTCGTCGACTTGGATTCCTCGTTGTTGTTATTGTTGATGGGGTTAGCGGTGGGCAATCTAATGGCACCCGGAGTAGAATCATCACTGAAAACCGATTTAATAACATTTTCTTGATGAAGTATAATTTTGCTTTTAAAAGTTCAAGAGTTTTGAAGAGCCGTAAATCCTATAATTATTCATGGACTTCGATTGTTTGTGTTTTGTATTAAAGAATAGTTTATTGGCTTTATACCATAAAACATTTTAGAATTTATCTCAATATAACAAAATAGCCGACCATGTCAATTTAAGTTGTAACAGCTGTAACTCTTGTAACTTTTACACAAAAAACGTATCCAACACAACAATGTAAAGCGAAATTTATAGATTTTTCTATAAATATAAACAATGTACGATCACACAATTATTAATCGAGATAGGTATCTATAAAAATAAAGAAAATGCAGTTGCTCTAAGACAGTCATACAGTCCTGTAATTTTTACAAATAAAGTCTAAATATATTTTGCCCCATGGGTAGTTTCACGAAAATGTACCAAAATAAAAGAATGTAGGTATTATGTTTATTTTTTAAGTTGCTGTAACTTTTTAAACTTTTATTTGTGTTATGTCAAAATGAAGCCTGATTTTTGTTTAGGTAATTCTTAGTAATAATATTATTAATTTATATAATATCGTATAAATGGTTTTCTAGATATAACGTGATTTATACATGTACTACTAGTACATGTATAAACCAACCTTATGTCTATTTTTCGACCCTAGACAATAAGCAGCGTGTATAATTTAACCATAAACCCAATAATACCGCTATCTGTCATCTCTCTCACTACGCTACGATAAAAATTTAAAAACAGTAGTATATAGAGAGAAATCAACCCAAAGCAAAAAGAAAGGACGGGAAGAAGATAGAGAGGGAAATATAAATAAAAAGAGGTGAAGGAAATGTACAAAACAAAAGAGGGGACCGACGTGATGGACAGGGAAAGACGCAGCAAGCTCTGTCTCTGTCTTTGTCTATCTATTGTTTGTCGCACGGTAAGAGAAATTTAAGTTTGAGTGGATGACTTTTTTTTGTAAAAAAAGCTTAAATTATTAGCGACTTAAAACAACACATTCTAAAACACTCAAAAGATTATAATTTTGCCATAAAAAACGCTAAAACACGGTGTACGTCATTAATATTAAAAACCGAAAAAGTGAACACTTTATCAGCAACAAGCAACAATAACCATCAAAAATAAAAATGTTTAAAAAATAAATAAATCTCTTTAAAATTATACGTTTTTCCAGGTTAATTAGCCAAAAAACGATTTTGTTGTCCGTGCAAAATATGAGGTTTACCGCACGGTGCGCGCTGGTAACAGCTGCGATTTTGTTTTCAATTCCGTCTCGCTTATTTGATCGTTCGTTTTCGTTTATATTCGTCGACTTTCAATCGTTTTATAATTCAATACCAGCACTCGAAAATAAGAAATTCACTCTCTAGACAAGTCTCGCGTTTCAAAGCTTTTTTTACTTTTCATGTATTTTTTTGACATTTAGTTTATAAACAAGGGACAAACCATCGCTTAGAATCCATTATCTTATCTCGAAAAATACTGTTTTACTTGTTAAGGTATACTTTTTTTACTTCATTGTTGAACCGATGATTAGAATCAGTGACACCTCTGATTGATGGGGCTCTGGCTATTTCGTAAACATTGAATATTTAGATTTTAGATGTTTAAAAAAACATTAAAAGGGCTTAAAAATTATGTAGTTTTTAAAATTTGTTCAAAAGTAAAAAAGTATGGTTTTAAAGTTTAGATATATTTAATATATTAACATGTTTTGTTATTTATTATTACTTATTATTTAATATTTTTATATTTTCTTAAAGAAACAAACAATCACCCTTAAAATGATACATTATTTTCTAAAAAATAACGAAAAAAAAAACATCTTTATTTAAAGTCCCAAAAACACCCACCTCACCCCCAATCAAATATCTTTAAAACACCAACACATACCCAAAAAACATACATATTATAAAACAACATAAAATTCGCCACAAAACAAAACAAACGATAAAAATCCCGCAACGTGCAAAAAAGTCCGCCTAAACTTCCAACATAAAACTAACGATAATCGCGCGAATTATTCGCGACTTTATCTCGGCAACCTGTTGTCCCCGACGCCCTTTGGATCGCCGTCGCGACGCGACATGACGTCATCGTCATAGTAACCCGCTGAAATTCGTTTGCAATGCGCTTGATCTTGTAAAATAAACGGTTCGTATACCTAAGTACCTATACGTAACTGCTGAATACTAGATAGTGGTATATATTATTATATCCCTCACCCCTATTTCGCAGGTATATTATGTATATGTAACCCTCCGGGGGTACATTTTTACTTATAGGTAACCGGATTCTTTTAATTATAAGGTTCGGATTTTAAAGGAAGTGATTTATTGGAACAATATGCAATCAAAGTTTATCGAATATCTCAAAAATTAGAAGCGACACATTTTTAGAATCGACCTACAAAAAAAATATACATTATTAAAGTTGGAATTGCATTTTTGTCGCAATTTTATATTTTATTAAATACCTCAAAAATTTTAAATGGAGTCATACTTTTTTATTGCCAAAAAAATATTATTGATATATCAATTTTTAAAATCACCCCACCAGCAAACAAATTATATGGTGTCAAAATTAAGTTATCATTTTAACATAATAATTATGTCCGACATTTAATATATCTCTAAAAAAATAGGTGGTGTATAGATATTAAGATTTTATCATCATTAAAAACAACATAGCATTTCCTACAAGTCAACATATTAATACTTAAACTATCATAACAAATATCAAGAAAATTTCTAGCTCATAAATTCCCAAACTTATCTCAAAATATATTAATAAACAAGCTATTCACACCCTTCAAGACTCCCTTATCCATCATTCAGACTCTTTGAAAACGACAAAAAACATAACGGCAACATTTTACAGCCAGCCAATTTATCTCGGTCATGAATTTTACGATTTCAAAGCTCCTATGTGTATCTATAGATATATCTATCTTGCAGCGATGTTTAGACACTCTGCGCGCTGCGACTCGAGCGCCATCTGTGTAACGTCGATAACCGGCTCTCTCTTCCACCTCGTTTGATGTTGCGGAGTAAATAAATAAATGTTATTACTTAAATGTGTGACATTGTTGGAAAGTAGATAAAATAAGCTTTAATTTTATATTAATTTTGACACCTTTGCATATTTTCTTAAATAGGTATCATTTAATAAATTTGCGTTAAGAATTAAAAAGTATATCTCGAAAACTATTAATATTATAGCTTATATTTTATATTTTCTTAGTACAATTTTATACCCCCTTAAAACTATACTTAGGTAACTTCTAAAATACAATTTATAAAATATATTAGATAAAGGGTTTTAAAGTATATCGCGTCACCTTTACAGTCCGTTCAGGCTAAGTTGAGCGCTTTGGTGGGGATCATATGGCCGCTAGCGATTAAATTAAATATCGAATCGTCGCGAGATTTTGGTAATAAGAAGATGATTTATCAGTGCCGCGGCTTGTCGTTTGTTCGTACAGAGCGGCTACCGAAATACATGTATTTAATTGTGCCTGAACATAGAGATGATGAACTGGGTGACATTCCTTAGACCGCTCAACTTAGCCTGAACGGACAGTACATATCTCAAGATATCTCAAAAACAACAAATGCTAAACTATCATACACGTCATTAAAAAATTAAAATTGCACCCTTAACTCACTTAACCAAAAATTAACAAAGTTGCGAAGGTCAAAAGTTGAGGGTAGAAATTCGATGAAATTGAAACATCTAAAAATTTTAATTTGGGTCTTTGAATGTGTCTAGATGGCGTTAAGGGCATTTAGACCCTGTCGTTTCATTAATGGAAAGATCAATTAGGCGAGCCGAGCAACAAGTTGAAAGGAAAAGTTAAATAATATTATGTTCAGAAATATTATGTTTGGGTTAAATTTAAAAAAATGTTGTATTTTTTCTGTGGATTATACTGTAAATTACATTTAGAGTGCAAAATTGGGGGAAACAAATGAAAATACGTAAAGTAAACACTGACGAAAAAAGGTTTATGATTAATAGGGACTGTATATTTTAAGCAAGTACTATGGTAGGTTTTAATGTTATTAATCAAGTGGCCATTTAATTGGTCGGCCGACGGTAGCGCTGCACGACACATGTGGGACAAAAAAGAACAAAAAACAATAGGTACGGGTATAAATTGACTCTCGCACATAGGTGGCTTTTTTATTTTTTATCGAAATTTATAAGAGGACAATCGTTTTTTCCCTTATTTTATGTGGATTTTAAAAATATAAATATATACCAGTATACCAGTTTTCGAGATATTTGAAATAACGCGTTAAATAAAATTGATGGGGTACCTATCTATAACTCAGAATGAGTTATTAATAAATTTAAAAAATGTTTGATTAATCGATATATATGTATATACATATCCCATAAATAGTTTTCCCGATATTTAATGAAATACAGAGTGATGTCAACTGTTTTTAAAGTTGGTGTTTAAACTAAAATAACTTTTACATTTTTATTGGATTTTTAAATAAAATTAAAGAAAAATGTATATATTTTTTTTTAATCTTAAAATATTTTAATACTTTACTATAATTTAATAGTATATCTACTATATAAATCAAAGTTGTAGTGTAAAAAATTGTAATAAATGCGATATACCTACTTGACGAAGAGATCAGAAAATTCTATATATCCCTTATACATTTTCACGAAAATAAAGACTTTTTCCCCAATATTTCCCACCCTCTTCCTTTAGTTAACCCCTGTACCGCATCAATATACTTCCAATGTCGAAAATGGCATTTTCTTTCTTTTTAAAAATTTATTTCATTTTATGCCAATTTTTCATTTAAATTACCTAATTATTATTATATTTTTGCATAAGAGGATGGAAAAACTACTTTTCGTCAAGAGCACGGAAACGGCAACTTTCACTTACCTTATGTACTCGATGGAAAGGCTGATAACGTCTTGGGGATTGAAAATCGTTCTTTCGATGTCTTCACCCCGGTCTTCCGGTGAAGCTTTCGCAGCCACTTCCGGGTGCGCGAAATAGAATTTTTTACGTCGCGTCATCTCGTTCAAAAACAACTGGGGCACCAGTTTGTAAACGATGTCTTGTAAAGTTTTATCCAGTCTGAAAATTTAAAGATGGTGCTTTTGGTTCAAGTTTTAAAGAAAACTGTAAAACAATGTCCCAGGATGTGGTAATTTTTTTTATTTTTGTACAGGCTTTATAGATGAAAAACCAAAACGTAGCCTACTTTCCAGTCACCAATTTAAAAAAAAAACAATGGGTTTAAAGATATACGCAAAGTATTAAACCAACGCATTAAAAACAACGCTTTTAAAAATCGCGAGGCGTAAACGATAAGTGCTGTTTTTAAATCACTGCATGTTCTTTTGTTGTTTTTTTGTGAACTTTGACAATAAATTTTTTATAAAAAATAATTTTAGTTATTATGTGAGCTACACATAAATAAAAAAAAATTAAAATCGCCTTATTGGTTTTAAGTAAAAACATGAAACAGAGAGGAGAAATCCCCAATTTTAAACTACTTAGTTTAAAGTTTAAACTAAGTAGTTTAAAATTGGGGATTTCTTTTAAACTTTAAACATATTAGGTATGTTTCGAAAAACAAATTCTAGGTAATCTAATGTAAAAATAATATTTTTTTTGCAACTTTAACCCTTTATAACTTTTTTTAACTAGTTGTTAAAACCAACCTATTATACAAAAAAAGAAAGCTAATTTAACTTTTTTAAGCATTTTTTTGTAAAATTAGAATCCCCTAAGTAGGTACTTTGTAAAACATTCACTAAAGCTTAAAGACGTGATTTTAAACTTTGTCAAATTCTATATTCCCAACAATTTTACAGTCTTTCACCCCATAAAATCACCCTGTAAACACGATTTCATCATTACCAACCCTATAAACTATCGAAAACAAAAATCCCCTACAGTTTACCTCGCGAAACAACCTAACCCAATTAGCAAATATAGTTCCCAGTCCTTTTTAAATGTCACTGCCCCTAAAGTATAGTTCCTAGACCCACCCTGCCACTTAAAATGTTACTCTATAAGGAATAGTCACTTTGAAGTATATTTCGAGAGTGACTGGTTAGTGCCTACCTACCATAAAAGTGGAAAATAAACACACCGATTGCAAGTGGCAAACATGTAATTTAAAGAAGTGGCTGGAACTACCTGAATCTTCGAATATGACACCATAAAAGACCAAAAACTTTATAGTAACTTTTTAAAGTAGCGGTCACCAACAAGTGCTACCATAATGCCTCCATTAAGTTTTTGTTACTTTATAGTAACAATTTAAGTTACGGGGTAGTCGCGGCCACGACACCTGGTTACCTCTAATTTATAGTAGCATTGAAAGTAACAAAATGGTTACTGCGACCTTCCTAGGTCACTATAAAGTAGCCGTCGCTTATCCTTTGCCACTAAAAAGTCGCGGGGATCAAAAATGGCTACTTAATAGTGACCATAACTTAATATACCCTAATAAATGTAATTGCCTCAGATTGCATATATGCATATATGTTACGCACTATAGTGTGCTGCTCTGTTTTGGTGTTTTCTTTTCTTGCTTTTAAGCTTTATTAAAATTCTGTAAAATGCTTAAGGTAAATAAAAAGAAATTTAGATATTCTAGTACTTTCTATCAAAGAATTAAACAAAAGGAATCACTGGGAGCCGAAGCATCAACATCAGAAACAAAAACTACATCTTTCTATAATCGTACTGATGAACATCATAAATCAGGTAGTGACATTTTTAAAGCTGTTTGATTCAAACAGTTTGAAGTACCTATTCACATTCAAAGTTGATGCATGTTCTGACTTCTATACCTGAGTCAAGTGTTCAAATCTCGTTCTGATCGAGGTGCTGATGAATATTATTAATTCTATCTTACGTGAACGTTTTCACCTTAATAGTCTTTAAATATTTTGTAATGAATAGGAATTTAATATAAGAAATTCAAGGTGCTAAATATTTTTAATGGGTCAAGTTTATCAATACTTCCCTGAAGTATTTGCAGTCAAAGTTGATGTATGTTCTGATTTCTACACCTGAGTCAAGCGTTCAAATCTTGGGCTGATGAATGTTATTCATTCTGCCTTACTTGTAGGTATTTGGGCTATGTAAAAATGAATATTGTATGCTCTCTACTTAAGTCGTGGATTCGAAGATTAAGTGGAAGAGAACGTTTCAAGATTTAGAGAGTAATTGAAGTGACGTCATAAACGGTGTGGGTCCTGTTTTAAACGGTGTGGGTCCTGTTTTTTTATAATAATTAATTTTTTTGAAAATAAATGAATAATTGTCATGTGATCATAAGAATTGCAATAACCAGTAAAACATTAGGTTTGATAATACGATTTGCATTTTACAAAAAATATGATTCTCGCGTCGCCAAACGGGAACTTCAAAGGACAAGGCGGAACGTTATAGTGGCACGCCGCGATCGGTGTAGCATAAGCGCTGCAATTAAGTGGCAATTTAGTGGCGCAGGGAACTTTCTTGGAAAAAATCACTTTATGTTCCAAAGAATCGTGGACCATGTAGTTCCCAAAAAGTTATTGTTTCCATAAAGTTGTCTCTGGGTAGTTGCAATTGTCACTTTATCAATCCGAAGATTTTAAAGTTCCAAACGGGTAGGGTTGGCCTAATATATTATTGTTCCCGGTACTTTGTGGAAGCATATGGAACTATAAAGTATTTTTCGGATTAAACGGCCATATTTTTTTCATGACTTTTCAGACGAACAGCCAAATGGCTCAAACATTTTGCGTTTTTAAGCTAAATATACCTAAACTAAAGATTTTTTCCTTAGATATTTTGTTATTTGTGACGGTGGACTAATATTTTAAAGTTTCACGCCAGTTTTAAGCAAATTAATTTTTTTTTTAATTACTACATGAGTTTCTATTGCAAATAATTTAATAATTTGAAATGTTTTGAAAGGCGCTCGAAAATTTTGTCATATAAACCCACTATTTTATTCAGTAAAGTCGATTGCGTTTTGGAATTGACCCACAAAAGGCGTTAAAATCGCATGGTAAATAACAAAAAAATAATAATGGCTTCCATAATTACTTTCCATCATGACATTTATTTTTATGAAGTGTGAAACTGAAGAGGTCGCTGCGAATAAAGTTTAACAGTTTAATGAAAGTTCTACATGTCGGTGGCAAAACACTAGGCTGCCACGAACCCGCGACTAGGCAGCTTCGTAACAGATAAGTCGCATTCAACGGTAGGCTACTTTATAGTGCCATATCGTAGTAACTCTTTTAGTGGCAAAAACTACCCAAGACACTACCCGGCTACTCAAAATCTTTCCCCATTTTGGTCGCAGTTACTTAGCAGCTACGAATATACAACGTAGCCGCCGATGGTCACCGCCCCCTTTGTAGTGGCTTTGATAGTGGCAGTTACGTATCTGCCACCATAAATGCTAGTTGGGAAAAGAAACTTTGTTGCATGAATATTTGAAGCCGGCCAAAATAGCACCTTTTAGCATTTAAGTTGGTTACGCAACAAATTGCTTCGACCACGTGACCGCCATGCGATGTGCATTTGTTATTCGGTGCGAGGAAGAGGGAGAAACACGACGCGCAAGCGCATTGCGCGCAAATTTTGTCGATAATTCCTTTGTCTCATTCAATACACGGAATATTTCAACCTATTTTGTTTCATTTGGCAGCTTTTTGCGTATAACTTGGTTACCATAGGTTGGATGTCAGTATGTGTTATATAAAAAATGTGGGCCTTTAATCTACAAGAAAGTTTTTTTTTTCGAAAAATCAATATTTTACAAATAATGGCTTTTTGAAGTTCCTGTTATATCAGAGCTTGTTTATTAAAGGGCAAAATTTTAGTTGTTTTTTTTTAATATTGTTTACTTTTTTATATAAGTGTTAAAAAATTATGACGAAAAATTAACCCAAACGCTTTACTTAACAGATCAAGTTTAAACATTATAAGGTATGTTTTATTATTTTAACTTTTAACGCTAATGATACCAATAGACAAAGAAAACCCCCCGATACCCACAAGACATGGAATTGTGAACGTCATAATTTGGTTTTCCATGTATAAATCTGTAAATAGCAAAGACAATATTGCTTTCGCTGTCAAAATGACAAGACCAGTGATAACCGGAAGTAAGGTTAGTTGTCCATAAAGGAAGTTTAGATTTTGATGTCACAGGATGACATATCACGGAATTTTGAACGACTATAGTCGTTCAAAATTTCGTGTTCGCCACTGTACCAACATTATATAACATGACAATGTCAAATTTAACTGTCAAATGTCAATAATAACCGCCAAAAACATGAAAAACACATTGTTGGTAACATAGACTTTCTCGTAATAAAAACACTATAAAGTTGGTATCGCCGACATTCTCCCAGTGAGTACAAACATAATCTCAAATACAGCTGTCAAACGTCAAGAATATGTCAAACTCTCTAAAAAATATAAAAAAGTGCATTTTAATGTTACTTACTTAAGATTTGGCTTAGCTTTGTTGATTATAACCTCACAAACAGGACAGTGAGAATTTTCCTGCAAAAACTCTATAATACAGCTCCTGCAAAACGAATGCAGGCATTCGGAAATCGTCGTCGCGTCTATTAGGTAGCCTTTGCACAAAAAACACGTGATGTACGAATTGATTTCCGTCAATTTAATTTTTTCTTGCTGCTGCATCTGGCAACCCTGCTCGGTGGTGGTGGCGACGGGACGTTTGGCAACGTCGGCCCCCGCTTCGGCGGCCGTTTCGCGGTCAGCGGCCGCCATATCGACCAGACCTGAAACCAAGTGAAAAAAGTTATTTTTGTAATCTAATGTTGTTATTTTGGTTGTAACCGAATGATAAGATAATAGCTTGCTAGCATTTGTAAACATCGAGGTAAACATTTGAAACATAAAGTTGATGAGACATACTTCATATTTACAATTAGATAGTGTTGCTTTAAAATGTAATCACTCATAACATTTTTGTTATTAAACAAAAAGTAACGATTAAAAAAACCAAAAGATAGCCTAATATTTCTGCTTTCAATTTATGTTTAGTGTAGGTACCTATTTATAAGAAGTGCAATTAACAGTTATTTAGTAAAATTTCCGGTAATGCCTTAACAGGTAATACCAATTATACTCTATTTTAAACCCTTATAATTCTTTTGTTTGTTAGTATAATTTTACTGGGTACAGTACAGTAACTGTGTAATTGAAAGCTTATTTTATGGACTATAAGCCTACCTACAAGTTATATATCTGTTAGGTTTTTTTTTTAGATATTTACAGAAGTATAGAACATAGTTAATTAACAAATTGAACCGAAATTTAAAGAAAATTTGTTTAATCAATTTAAACAATTATAATTCTTGTTTTTTTGGTAATACCTAGGAAGTACCTACCTGTTTTATGTATCAAGTTTAATAAACGCCATTTGAGTTCCGAGTTTAATTAGGCACAAGCGAATGTTTAGAAAAAACCACTGGCGTAGCGACAACTTTTTTTATTATTTTAATTTATTAAATAAATTATTTATAAACAAAAAGTAACAAAACTCTACAGGTGCTACACTGTACCTACCTATAATATAATAGATACACTGTACCTACCTATAATATAATAGAAAAATAATAACATATAACATACAAATATGACATTAACTATAATGAATCACAGAAATAAATAGCCATACATATTCATGCATGCAGAGGCTAAATGTAGCAAAGTATTCCTCGAGGTTATGACAATTTGCTGTCATCTTGGTTATGCAGGTACACTGCATTGTGCCATAACAAAACAACCCAAACTTAACAACCCAACCCAACCGACCCCGCCGGATGGAAATAAGTATTTAATGTTTTGGCCCAAAACTTTTGGGGCAAGTCCCCAAGTCGGGTCCACTACGCGGCTAGGGCCCCCCCACGGTGGCGGGCGCTCGCGGTAATGTCGCTACGCCACTGGTAAAAACGAGTGTCTAGAGAAGTTTATAAACGAGTTGCATACTATAGTTTATCTTAGACGAACACAAAATGGTTAAAAGTTAATAATATTTATTTTGTCGTGGCAAATGTTTTTCGTTGCGTCATCAATTTCAAATGTCAAAAACCGGTTTGTCGACATACGTCAGGCATATTTCGAATACGTCGCGGCGATTACTATACCTACAAAGAAAACAGCACATTGTAATGTCTGTGCTTGGTTCAGAAATTGGTGACGCAACGGAAAATATTCTCCGCAACGACTATACCTACATAAAACTATAAATAAACTATAAATCCCGCTTTATTCTTTCCTTCCCCCCAAAAAAATCTCCAGGCTAGGTAACCCTAGTCATATAACAAAAAAAATTTAATAAGTTTTAACAAATTGTATGTTAAAATGAAGCTTATTTTATCCCCAAACAAACAAATGAGGAGTGATTTTTCAAAAGGCCTTATTTCCATTTTTACTTGAATGTAATTTTTTGACAAAATCCCAAAGGTATGGTTAAAAGGCATATATTAACGGCGAAATATGACATCAGGTCTGAAGTATTATAAAATATTCATTAGAATTTTTTTTTTAAATAATCTATATTGCCCTAGGTATACCGGTTATGGTCATTTTTTTTTAAAAATTGTTGCAAATGGAAAATCACTCCTCAAATGTAAAATCTTACGATTTATGCACAAACATAAAAAATACCCTTAACAGAGTATTGTAAAGAAGTTGGCCGTAATGTAGCGTTGTCAATTTCGCAAAGCCATACGTGAGGGAGAAGGCAACGTTGCCTGCAGGACGGCATTAATTTGTTACCGAGGCCTACCTACTACAAATAGAAAAGTAAGGGCTATAATAAAAGACTAGAGCCGCGAAACAGAATAGTAATTTTAGCGTATTTTGAATAAACTTGTGGTCTTTGAACAGGTTTTCGTTCAGAAAAGAAAACTAGTTATTAATTTAAACCGGCATAGAAAGGAATTAGAATTTTAGGTAAACAAAATGGGTAAAGTTATAAAAACAGTATTTTTAAAGTAATAGGTACCTACCTAATTTTTTTTTGGTAAAATTTTGATTAAACTGACATCATGTCAGTGACATGTCACAGACAACTTTAACAAATGACAAACGAATTAAAGAGATTTTGCTTAAAATGTCAAAACAACGTTGATTTGAGGTCATTTTAGTATTTTTAAGCCGGAAATAACACCTAATCATAATATTCAGCCATATTAGAAAAAAAAATTGAAAATAGAAAGTATCAAAAGTAGGTAGGTATACCTATACTTTACAAAAATTGTAATATCGTTAAAATTACAAAAATAACCTAATTAACGATATACAGTATGTAGTAAATTTAATAACGAATACAAAAACAGAATTCCAAAAATCATAACCGAAAATTTAAGAGATTTTGCTTAAAATGTCAAAACAACGTTGATTTGAGGTCATTTTAGTATTTTTAAGCCGGAAATAACACCTAATCATAATATTCAGCCATATTAGACAAAAAATTTAAAGTATCAAAATTACAAAAATAACCTAATTAACGATACCTATACAGTATGTAGTAAATTTAATAACGAATACAAAAACAGACTTCCTAAAATCATAACCGAAAAAGAGTTAAGGTAAAAAAAATAGGTAGATTTGTTTTTTTCTAAAAGCTAACCTCAATGTTCAAACCTAATTTTCCAACATTAAAAAATATATACATTATTTTAAACCTCATTTAATCATCAATCTATTAACACCAAAACCAAAACAATCGACGAACGCACGGCAGAACTGCCAACCTAAACATACGACAATGCCATTACTTCGAAAAGCGTAGCTCATTCATAACTTGGTTTTAACGAAAAAAATGTACTTTACGACCGACCCACTGAGCGCGTATACCTGGATACAGAAAAGCCGGCAAAAGGGACCCCACAATTTATTTACACATGGCCGCCAGAAACACTTGAAAATCGTTCTATCAGCTGTCAAAAGGGTTTATTAAGTTTAAATATGGTTTAAATGCGCAAAAATGAAATTTGTTGATTGTGTTGGTAGATTTTAGTTTGTTTTATTGTTTGAAGTCGATAAATTTTCAATATTAATAATTTTAGGGGGTTGATGTTAAGTTGTGACGGTAGTAGTTGATATAGTTTGACAGTTGTCACAAATATGAATAAATTATTGAACATATTTGTTATTTATGTTGTTTTGAGTGCTTAGAGTGTAATAAATGGTTAATTAGTGTTAATTACAGTGAAATTTAGTCTTTATTATGTCGAGAATTTGGTTTAAAAGTGTAAGTTGCTTGTTATAACTTTTGTAGGGTTCCAATTATGTTTTTATGGTTGAATTTGGTTTGTTTGTATTATTTTAAGTCTAAAAATCACTGCGGATGTAAACATTGGTTAGGTTTTTTTTTAGTTGACGTTTGCTTTACAGTATCACTTGTTATTGTAAGTTACAAACAAACCAAACCAATTTTAAGTAATTTTACGATGTCTCAGGTAAAAAAAGCAATATTTACCTTAGAATCTAGCAGAATAACCCATCGAAAACCATTTTAAAACCGAAAATAATCCGCTGATTTTGTTTTCTATGTCACTTTTATTTTGTAAACAAACGCACTGAGATCCTCTTTTTTTCCTCGCTTCTCAAATCCGGACCGTTTCGACGAAATCGTGCTCGACAAGCCACTATCGACCTTATCGGCCAACATAACCTCCAAACTTGCACATTTTACCGGTTTTCGGGCACTTATACTTCATTAATTTCGTTGAAACTACACTGTATCACGTAAAAAACACCCTGGAATCCATTCCGCATACCAATTCAAGAATATAACGTGCACTTTCGGCGTAAATAGCGTTTCTTCGAATGGAAACAATGCACCGACCTGCGCTGCGTACGGTAATAACGATGCGACTGCCGAGAGAGGGTCTCGGATTGGTAAATAAGCGAGGCTATGTATTCCCCCCTATTTACCTACCTAAGTATATAATGTGAAGAACGGCTGCGGGTAAAGTCGTGTATATATTTCGATGTGTACATTGAACAGCAGTTTTTAACGCTCGCTCTTAATTTTCCCCAGCGCGCTATTGGTCCAAAATATCAAGTATACGGGGGGCGCACGAAAAACCGTCTTTCAAAAATGTCATTATTTGACAGTTACAGAGTCAACAATTAAAAAATCTAGAGTTTTTTTTGGTTTTAGTATCTTTTATGAATGTTTAAAATATTTGTTTGGTAAATTTTGCTCATTTCTTGTCCGATTTTAATGAAATTTAACAATAATGTTAATTTTGATTATTTAAACAAAAAATAGTTCAACACCAGAGGGCAGTTTAAAAACAATTATTTAGCCATAACTTTTTTGTAATGTTATTTTTTGCAGTTTTTATACATTATTAGATGGAATAGTAATTAATTTTATTATTTAAGCAATAATTTAAAAAATTAGGAAAGAAAACAAGTAATAAACATGTATTTAACGCGTTATAGTGTACCTATCTAAAGTTCTTATGTAATAAAAAATGCACTTTCCCTATGTACAAAAGCTTGCCAAATCGTTTTAATGCGAGTTCATAACTCGACTGTTCTTGGAAAAGCGCGGTTGTCACGTCTATTTAAAAAAATCATGAAATTTTTTTATTAAAGAAACATCCTTTTTAAAAATTGTTAAAAAACATTTTCGTAATTTTTGACAGAAAAAAACAATGTTTTGTTGCAGAAAATATTGATATAACCTTTAAAAACATCCCATTTTCACATAAAATAATCAAAAACTCACTAAAACAGTATTTTACCCCAAAAAAACACAATTTTTATCGTGTATAACATTTCAAAAAATCTGTCTTCTTCCATTTCTAACTACTTTCCGCACAACTTGGCAACGTCGCCAGCCGCACTATTTCACACATCCCTCCATCCTTGTCTCGCTTTGACATGCGATTCTACCGTTCTTTAGTTATTTTTCCCACAATTTAATATATCCATCCTTTTCTAACTTGTTGTCCCTTATGTTTATCATCTTTTTCTATTCAAGGTTGTTCGATGAAAAGCACGCACTTTCGGGCCAATTGCACGGCGAGGTATCGACAACACAGCAAAAAAGTGTTGAAGATTATATACAGGGTGTTTTGTCTAAGCGCGTTCAAACTTTAAAAGTGTATTTTCTATACACTTTTAAAGGTTATTACACAGGATGAAAATGATTTTTTTTCTGTGTAAGAATTACCTACCTGTTAGCTAATTTTGCTTAAAAAATGAACTTGTCCGGTCTGCATAGGACCCTTCAACTGGTCAACATCGACCAATTACGTTCATAATAAAAACATTAGAAAAATTTTTCTTAAGGACATCATATGGTTTAGGTTTAATCAAATAAGATTAAAATTGAACAATGCTCGTTTACAGGAAGAGGGCGATAACTGTACTAATATGTAATGTCTTAATACCTATGTTTATTTTTATTTTGTGCATTTATTATTTTTTATGTGGGACGTATCCTCTCAATACCTTTCAATAATGATAAGATAGTTGACACATTATTATAATATAGAAATAACTTTTTATTTAGTGGTGTTATTTTTTATTGAAATTATTTGTTTAAAAGTTGCAAGTTGTAAAGGGTTGTGATCAATATATTGATATACAGTGTGTCTACTTAAGTTGGCAACATATTATGGGAAACTTTGTTATTATTAATTTTACGAAAAAAAGTTATTCTTTATAAAAAGTTCTGCATATTCTAAAATCTAAATTACATTCATCAGATATAAAAAAATTTCAGTCATAAACGCGGTTTGACAAAAAATATGAATTTGGTACAAGTAAAGTACCTTTATTTGTGACATCGAAAAAATTGTTCAAAATGAAAAACTATGTTTTAATATATTGCATATATGCAATTACAGCCTTCTACTTAAAAAATTTTTTTACAATTTACAAATTTTTCTCGAATTACCGATAGCGAACATCTTTTTTATTTATTACAAATTTGTTAACATTATCCGTTCCGTTCAGCAAGTAATAAGCAAATTCTCACAAAACAAAATTTATTTTTGCTATCAACAAATCATTTGTTTGTCAGTGCATCCTAGATTACATGATAATTTTCGATATTGTCAAATATAAAGGTACTTTACTCTTGAGTAAGATTCATATTTTTTGACAAACCGCCCAAGCAGCATTTTTGGTTCCAAAAACCATTGCCAAAGTGGTGATAACTTTAAATTAGTTAAGTATACTAAACAGCTACTTTAATTTTTACTTAAAAGTAATTCTAACTTTTAAATAGCAATATTTTGTAACAGAAACTTAATTTTTCCTTAAATTGTTACTATAAAGTAATAAACATTTAAGTAAAACTTGGTTGCCCCCAAGAAGACTTTGCAACTTTAAAAAAGATGTTATAAGTAAAAAAAACTTTCAAGTAAATTTAATTTGTAGCAGTTACTTTCGGTTGCTACCTAAAGATTACATTATAATTATTTTTACTTTGTAGTCCCTTTGCAAGTTAAAATCTCGAAACTGGAACATGAGTTAAAAACTACAAAGTTAATAACTTAAAAGTTATTATTTTAGTATTTGGAACGTTTATGGTACTAACCAAAACAACCGTAAAGTGGAAAAAAACTTTAAAGTAGCGAAAACTACTTCAAAGGAAAATGCTTCTTATCGGCAATTTTTTACTGTACAGTACCACGTGGTAATGTAAATAATAAATTATTTTAATTGTTTGTAAATGGTTGTTTACTTTTTAATAAATAGAAATATTGTTGGTAATAGACGGTATTAACAATTAAATAAAAAAAATAATAATAAATATTAAGATTTTTTTATTTATAAACATTACTAAATAAATAATTTGTTTATACTTAAATATTGATAAAGCGCATTTATTTTACAAAAACTAAATTCATAAGTTCAACAGTAAAATTTAAAGGGTTTATAAATCTACCTGTCTAATTAAACATTATATTGTTATTCTGGAAGTTATAAACTACCAGTACATATTTAATAAACGACGACATTGAAAAGCCAAGTCCGTAGTGGTTCCATTTAAAAAAGGAGGGATAGTATAATCTAATATAAGTTTGACAAAGACAGTTAATATAGAAGTAAAAACAAATAATAAAAATAATTATAACGCTCTAGCAACGATATTGGAACGTTCTAGTAACGTAGCAGCTACGTCCCAAATAGTAGCAGGGTTGGTAGCTAGTGACATATTTGCTACCTTTTTGGAACTCAATAATTGTTCCCCACTTTAGTCGTAACGTAGTAATGAAAGAGTAATATAAAGAGACCGGCGACTGTCGCAAAACACTTTGAAGTTTCTTCAATAGTCCCATATACGTAACAAATACTTAAATTGTTGCTTGGGCGCTTATACGATTGAAAAAATTTGATATCTGATGATTGTATTTTAGATTTTAGAACATGCAGAACTTTTTATGAAGAATAACTTTTTTCGTAAAATTAATAATAAAAAAGTTTCCCATATGTTGCCAACTTAACAAACTGTATATATAGAGATGTCCGAACTTCGACATTTGCTTTAATTTGTGTTTAGTTTGGTTTAGTTTAACCGTTAGTGATTTAACGAATCATTTTATTCAGTAGCGTACAGGCCCGTGCGCACGGAGGCATTTTGGGGGCTCCCCCCATAGAATAGAGCAAAATGTTATAATATACCTAGTTATTTTCCTAAATAATGCGTTAAGTTATATTTTTCCGCACGGCACTCAATTGAACGAACGAAACGTAGATCGTTCATCAGTCGAGTGCGGAAAAGACCCTTTCCGCTCGTGTTAGGTAAAATATCTTTTCTACGGAAAGTTGCTAGTTTCCGCACTGAAAAAATGTTTTTTACTCTTGGAATAAATAATTTTGAAAACATTTTCCCAAAAAGATTTAAACATCTACATATGTATGTACAGGGTGATCCCCTATAATGTCGCCCCCCTTTAACTTTTTTATTTTAAGGGTCCCAAAAAATTTAAAAGTGTGGTTATGTAGGAACTAAAAAATACTTTTTTTCTACGTATAAAGAAAATTGGAAAATTGATCAGTATACAGGGAAAAACAAAAAGTTTATTTTTTTTCAATGGATCACCCTATATATGTATTTATTTTTCGATTCCTTGTAAAATTCTAAGCATATTTCAATAACATACCATATACCTAAATTCAACCGTTTCTGAAATATTTAAATTATTTTTAAAATAATAAAATGAAATAGTTTGTCTTTCTCTGTCTGAGTACGCCATTTTTACTTATTTAACAAGACATATTGACATAATGTCACAATAGTAATTTATTTTCAATAAAAATTTTGGTATACTGAGGCTTCTTGATTTCTAACAGTTTAAAAAAAACATTTAATGATAACATTTCGAATGCGAATATTTCAGAAACAGTTGAATTTAGGTATAGGTATGGTTTGTTATATGAATTATGCTTAGAATTTTACAAGGAATCGAAAAATAAATTCATATATAGAGTGATCCATTGAAAAAAAATAATCTTTTTGTTTTTCCCTGTATACTGATTAATTTTCCAATTTTCTTTATAGGTAGAAAAAAAGTATTTTTTAGTTCCTACATAACCAAACTTTTAAATTTTTTGGGACCCTTAAAATAAAAAAGTTAAAGGGGGGCGACATTATAGGGGATCACCCTGTATGTTCACTATGTTTTACTATTTTTACTACTATCATATCTAATATACAGGGGGTTTCTACTCAAAACAGACAATGTAATATATTACTACAGTGGTTGTAGATCTCATCATCTTCAAATAAATATTTTTCATTTGGCTTTTGTTTTTTAATTAGGTATCGTCCTTTAGTTTTTACATAATCCTCTTTATCTTTGTTAGTTAATATTTTTGATGAAAATGTTTAAAAAAAAAATAACGGCCTCCTGGTCCTCATTGCCTCAAAGTAAAAAAAATA